AATTTGTTTGTAATAATTACCTATTAAATAAATAAATACTATGCCTTAACCGTTCAGCCAATTATCTCAGAGTTGATATTCCTGGATCGATTTAAATGAACTCGAGGCCCTTTTGAGTTTCAAACGAATATTTTGATTTTGGGAGGTACTGTACATAAAGTCTCAACATTTTCTCAAAAATGGCGTCAAACATTTTTATCAAACTTTGTCCTCGGATGGCGTAAAAGACGTTTATAGTACGATTTCTTTAGTCGTGCACTTGGCGTAAATCAGCTGTTGCTGTTTCATCCAATCGGGAGCTTATATGTCGCTACAGTGACGTCACTATGGGACGTTCAAGCTCCCGATTGGATCAGTTGATTTACGTCAAGTGCATAGTTAAATAAATCCTAAGTATAAGAGAATGGTACAGGTCTCGTTTTCTTCAAAATCCTTGATTTTTCAAAAATGGCAAAAGTTCAGTTTTTTTGGACTTTTTCCTACAACCACAATATTGAAGATGGATATTTTTTAATGAAATCTGTTCTTTAAAGAATTATCTTGAAAAAACGGCATGTTCAATTTTTCAAAAATATCAATCGCTTTTGGGTAATTTTGTGTGAAATATAGGCATTTTTTTAGAAACATTTGTTTCTCAAAAATACTTCATGTTTTCTTCGTATCTATCAAATGACTTTAAAAAAATATGCTTATTCCATTTTTTGAAATTGTATTTTCGAAAATTGCAAAATTTTATCATTTAAAAAATGTAGAAAGAGATTTTTGCGTGAAACAAAATCTATTCAAAAAATCTACCTTTTGAAAAAAGACATGTACAATGTTTTGAAAAAAACTGATAGATTATGCATAATTTGTTCTTGAAATAATGCAATATATAACAAAAAAAAAAACATTTTCTCAAAAACCACACCAAATTTTTTCCATGGATAAAACAAAGAATGCTTAAAAAATGGCAAAAGTCTCATTTTTGCTGAACCCTCTGAATTTCGAAAATTCCAAATTTAGAAAGACTGTGAGAAGGTGTGAGGTGTTGTAGCACCACTAGTTTCTTACTATAGATTATATGATTCAAATTAATTAAAGGAAGAATTTTGATCTGTTGAAAATATTAAGTTTTCAAGTCTTGTACAGAAAAAGTAAACAACATGGTCTCTTCGCCATACATTGTTTTAGAACTGATTATACCTCAGATAATCCAATTACAAGAATGTGTAATATGATATATGTACATAACTTAGATTTGATTGGAAGGAATTGTTAAGGAAATTGTATTGTTTAACGAATCAAAATTTAAATAGTGGAAATCCAAATGATCAAACCATTGTAATTGTTATGTTTTTTAAATATTAAATAACTCAGTGAAATGTATTTATTGCAAATAGGTATTTTCCCATAATATTATAATAATAATAATAGTAGTAGTAGTAGTAATAATAATAATAATAATAATAATAATAATAATAATAATAATAATAATAATGATAAACTTATCTATTTACATTATTACTTTGCATATCCTCCAGTGCTTGACTGATCACAACGGCTCTATGTTCTTGGATTCACAGTGTTTCAGAACGTGATGTAATATACAATATGGGCATGACTTTTAATTTTGAAAAAAGACTAACTAGCAAAATTGAAATAGATCAGGAATATAAAAATTATATTAAAAATTATTGGAAGCATTAGGCTTCACTAGCCTCTTGACCTCCATGGGCATCCTTGAGCTTTTTGGATCCCGAAGCAGTATCCCGACTGCACCTACCTCACCGCAAAGCTGTGTTTGAGGATGTGCGTATTTTGTCTGTGTGTACTGAGTATGCATTTGTGTGTGTAAGAGGAGTGAGAGGGGCAAGGAAGAGGAAGGGAAGTTCGTGTGCAGTTCATGGCCTGTTTGTTACAGTAGTTCTAATCCAGAATTTGCCTGGTGTTGATCTGTGAACCATGGAAAAACTGCCGATCAGAACATTTGAAGTTAGACTTTGTCTCCAGACAGTTGCAGAATTCTGTCTATTTAGCTAATTTCAAAAACCCACTACTGTCTGAACTCGATCCCTGAGACCTCCCAATCAGAGATGTTTCATCATGAACTGTTGTTGTTATTGAAACATCTCAATTGGTATATAGCCCAAGTCATTCCCAGGACTGGAAATGTGGAAATGTCAATGGAGTTATTCTGACATTACCTGATCATAAACAGTTCAGTATTTTGAGTGCTGTATGAAAACAAACACACCAGTTAGACGTGTCTGTCCACTAAAAATACCAGTTGTTTGTGTTCTCACAGTCAGGTAAAAACTTCATCATGACAAGTTTCAGGTTGCAAAAATTTTATAATTGCTCATTAGTTTCTGTTACATGTTTAATAGACTTCTCAGATGTTATAGACTTGATAGGAGTCAGAAAAATGTATTTCCAGATTAATTGCCATAAGAGTATTGCTTTCATTTTCTCTTTTGAATAATACTTTTCTTTTTATAGTGCCTAATCCTTGTGCTCCTAATAATGGAAATTGCTCTCATCTCTGCTTGTTGAATGTAAATGGCACTTATAAATGTGACTGCCCCCATGTAATGCGTTTGGGAGAAGATGGAAAAACTTGTATGGGTAAGTAAACTGAAAACTAAATTTAGAAATATCCCTTGACTATTGTTAAACTGTGACTGATTGTCATATCTGTTACTTAAGAATTTTCAAAATTTGTATCACCATTGCATTTGTTTATGAAGGAGAAGATTAGATCAGTTGCCTTGTTTTAGTAAAGTTTATTTCTTTTTATTTATTTTAAAAAATTTGGAAATATCATCATAAGTTTTTTTTATCCCATATTCATTTTGTTAACTAGAAGAAGTACTCTTGATGCCTGTATTTGTTAATCACAAATATCTGTTAGTCAGGAAATGAATTGTACGTGTAGTATGTCCCCACCCAACTCTGTCCTACTCTGTGTTCACCCACCCTGGCCTTGCCTGCCCCTGCACACTGCACCAGCCCACTGCAACTGCACATGCACATTCACCTGCACCTACCTGTTCCCCTGATCTTACTGTGTATTGTCCCACCCACACAGTATATTCTGTCCCTCATTCTGCCCCATCCTCACTTCGTTTGATCCTCACCTGCCACGGCCGTACCTCACCATAATATGTTAGCGAGGATCTTTGCTACCACCACTGTTGCTAAGAGCAGCTACAAACATGAATTGTTGTGTACTCTTGGCAAATTTTCAGTACCAATTGTGACCTTCAATTATTCAAAGCGTAATTGCACTACTTAAACGAATCAAAATATATTGTGTAGAAAATTTTTGAGACTTAGAAGGAACATTGAACTTCCTTTTAACTTTTTTAGACTTAATGAAACATTGATTCACCATTTTGAGATAATAATAATAAAAAACAGAAAGAGTGCAATACTTTTAAGAGGGAAGGAATTGGGAAGGGATAGGATTTTTTTCAAGTCTTGTGTAGACAGTAATTTTTTATTTGGAGGATACCTATACAAGATTTCATCATTATCAGAATAAAACTGTGGATTTGTATGAAAACTAGCAGGCAAACATTCTTCTTCATATAATAGAAAACAATAACCTGATATAAATTATGTTGGACAAAATATTCTTTATTTCAGCAAAAAACACTAACGGTTTACATGTTCCCAAGGTTAGTCTGAAGGAACAGACAAACAAAAATTGTCAAAACCATTTAATGATTTTTATATCACCTAAATATTACTGTAAGAAATTATATAAGAGCAGGTATTTTGAAATCACAGACCAACATTCCCATTTTATTTATTTAGGTAGTTCTGTTCATGGCAGGGTAAATTATGTAATTTTGGTCTTCCAGGTAAACTGTTGAAATCTTATCATTCTACAACACTTGCAAAGCAGATATTTTATATCAAAATATTACAATATTATAATATTTATAAGAATCAATTGAGTGAAATAACTTATTTTTGCTCCTTTGTTATAATTTTCTTTTCAGTTACATCATAACAAATACAGAATAGTTATGAATTTCAAGAATCAAATTTACTCTCATTCACTCTTCTTTCTTCATTGTTCCAGAAAATGAACAGGTGTTGTTGTTCTCAAGAACTAGTGAAATTCGAGGTGTTGATCTAAGCATGCCATATTATCATACAATTCCAACAATTAGTGTGCCTCAAGTGTTGGCACCATCTCAGTTAGATTTTGTTGTTGCAAATCGCAGTATTTATTGGACTGACATTCAGACTCATGAAGTGAAACGATCTGGATTAGTTGGAGGACCAACACAGACTATTATCGATAAAGGTATTATTCTTTCTTTCTTTCTTTCTTTCTTTCTTTTTTCTTTCTTTCTTTTTTTCTTTCTTCCTTTCTCCTCTTTCTTCTTTTCTTTCTTATCTTTTTCTTTCTTTCTTTCTTCTTTCTTTCTTTTCCTTTTCTTTCTTTCTTTCTTTATTCTTTTCTTTCTTTTCTTCTCCTTTCTTTCTTTTCTTTCTTTCTTTTTTTCTTTCTTTTGCTTTTCTTTACTTTCCTTTTCTTTCTTTTCTTTCTTTTTCTTTCTTTTTTTTCTTTTCTTTCTTTCTTTTCTTTTTCTTTTCTTTCTTTTTCACTTTAAAATTCTTACTATTTTTTTTGAATGTTAGCGCACTTATTTCAAAGGAAAAGAGAGAAAAAAATATTAAGAACTTTTTTTTCCCCAAACTCTTTTAAAATGGAGAACTTTTCCTTTTTGGGTGTTTTAAATGTTCCGTAGGAAAATAGGGAAGGCAGCTACTGGATTTGCTATTGATTGGATATCTAGAAACCTGTTTGTAAGCTCAGCAGGTGCCACTAGTAATTACATTACTGTGAGCAATTTGGAAGGTGAATATATAACTCCTGTTGTATCAGAAGATGTAGTTCAAATTCGTTCATTAGCCCTGGACCCATTACGAGGCAAGCTTTTCTGGAGTCATATTCCCAATGATTTACACACAATTGAAAAAAGTAATATGGATGGATCAGGCCGAATTGTTTTAGCAACCCAAAGAGAAAATCCAAATCTGATGTCACCCCAAAGTATGTGCAAGAAAATATAATAATAATATTTAATTTTGTATCTGATATTTAACATTTATAAAATATATCTAACATGATAAAAATGTTTGTTTTAAGGCTTATGCATGGATCTGGAGTCAAATCGTTTATATTGGGTTAGTGCTGAAAGCAACATGATTCAGTATTATGATCTTTCTACTAAAAATCTATTAGAAGTTCCCTTACAAAGTGGGCAAAAAACAGCTGTGGTAGTATACAAAGGCATGGTGTATTATGCAAACCAGGATGACATGGCCATTCATGTTGCAAACAAGACCACTGGAGAAAATGATACTGTTTTACGAAATAACACTGGTAACTTTTAAAGAATTTTATAACTAATCTAATTCTTTGGTTGTATGTAAATGCAGAATTTTGAAAAATATTCATGGAAAAAAATAATAATTATATTGTTTCAAATTTATCTTCTTGGATAATGTTAGTGTATTTTCTTTTGATCATTAAATGTGTTATTGTGATTTCAGGGAATGTTCTATCCCTTAAAATTTATGACCCAAATGTGCAAGTGGGATCAAATCCATGCTCACAAAACAAAGGAGGATGTTCTCATCTTTGTTTACCAGTTTCTGACAAGGAAAGGGTGTGCAAGTGTGCACTTGGCTACACTGTTGATACTGAAAATCCTACAAAATGTATTGGTGTGTATATTTTAGTGAATTGACTCTGCTTGTGTTCTCCATAATTAGTTCTATAATTAATCTCAAGTACATTTTTTAAATAATGTGAGTTGTGTGAAATACGGACAATATTAGACATTAATTTTCTCAAAAAACGCTCCAATTTTTTTCTTTAAACTTCTTGTAAGGATAATACTTAATGCACAGAATAACATGTCATAAATGCCATTTTGATGGTTTTTGATTTTTCAAATGTCATCCAAATGCAATTGTTTTAAAATACCTCACACATATTGTGAATATTTACAATTCAGGCACTTTTATACATTGTTCCGTTCATTGTTCCGAGTGCAAATACGTGAAATTTCTATAAATGTTTCTGAAAAATTCTAAAGTTTTCCGTGCAAAGTAAGTCAAGAAACACATTATCAGAAACTGAAACAGCAATTTTTTCAAAAACAGCTTCAGTTCTTCTGTGAAAATGTGCATGTATGATCAGGTTTTACTCTTCAACAATATTCTTAAATTCATATTTCAATTCTGCTATTAGGGGGCCAAAAACATTGAAAAAAATGTGAAAATATATCTTTTAGATGCCAATAGAGAGCACCTGGGAAGAGGGTGGAGAAAAACTGAAAGATGCCCAGAGTAAAGGGATAAAGAAATATCTAAGGTTCTACATAAAGAAAATGCTTCAATACAAATAAGAAGACAATGTCAAGATTCTGTAATATGTACAATTTTCTAATTATGTTTCTGTTGCAGGTATTGAGGAATTTCTTTTTTATTCAATGACTTCAGATATTAAAGGAATGTTACTTACTCCTGAAACTAATTATACAGATGTTCTGGGGCCAATATCTCGAGTTTCTGTTGCTACAAGTATAGATTTCTATGCAGGTCAGACACGTATAATGTGTTGTAATAAAATTGCAATATTCTACTGAAAACAATTGGGTGATATGTTTTTTCTATTGTGCTTTTCAGCTGAAGACTATTTGTATTGGGCAGATAGTGATCATGGTTCAATTACGCGCATTCATCGTGATGGTACAGGTCGTCAAGTAGTGGTAGAACATTTTGAGTCTATGGATAGTATTCCAATTGACTGGTTAACAGGTATATGTTTTACCCGTCTTTCATTGCTTAATTGTTTAAGAAAAACAACCCCCCTTAACTACCCTTGGATGAAATATTGGAATCAATAAAAGATATTTGCTCATTGAACAAATAATAATTGAAAGATATACGCTTATCAGAATTAAATTACAATGTTGATTGAAATTGAGAAAGGGAAATTGGTTAACTGTGTATTGCAAAAAGTCAGCGGAAGAAGTAATTTTGTTAATTGTATTTATTAATAAATTCAATTATTAATATTTTGAAAAAAATTTGCAAAACAATTTGTTTCAATGTCATAATCAAATAAGTGTCTTCAAATGACAAACATTCCATCAACAAACATAAGTAATTTACAATTTAATTTATTTTAAAAGCCTCAGAAATCAAACAAGAATTAGGTAAACATCTGATTTGATTCTGACTTTTTTCTTTGTCCCAAAGGTCTTGCTGTTGACTGGGTAGCTGGAAATATTTATTGGACTGATCCAAAATACAATGTAATTGAAATGGCAAGATTGAATGGCTCAAGTCGATATGTAGTAGTTGCTGGAGATATGGACCGTCCAGCTGCTATTGTTCTGGATCCAGTAGTTGGACTCTTGTTTTGGAGTGATGTTGGGAAACAACCTCGCTTGGAACGAGCCTATCTTGATGGATCTAATCGCACAGTTCTTGTCAATGACACCTTAATTCACATAAACGATATTGCCCTTGATTACAAAGCAAAAAAATTGTATTGGTGTGAATCAAGTAGCAATACCATAGAACGAATTAATTATGATGGTACAGAACGTGAAACTGTGTTGGAACAATCCACTGAAAATCCATATGCCATTAGTGTGCATGATGACAAAATATTTTGGATTGATTTGTAAGTGTTTTTTAAATTCTGTACCTCTATACAATTTAAGTACAGTACTACTACCTTCTTTCTTCTTATGCCAATTTATTCTTTATTTTAATTTTATTTACTTTCATCATCTTTATCATTGTTAAATTCTTTTCTCCTGCCTTTCACCTCTCTCACGTTTTCTGTTATATTATTTTTCTTCATCATTATCTCCTTTCCCATTTTCCCATACCATGCTTTTCTTTCCATCGTCACAAAGAAGCTGTTAAAGTTTTTTTTTCTTCAGCTTCTTCCTCATTGAACCCTTTTAACAATTTCTCTTTGTGTTTTTAATCAATGTCATTATTGTTGTAAATATGAAAGTAGATATCCTCATTCATTTACATCAAAGGCTTTCTCTTTATTTGTAGAACATTTGAACGTGGCAGTATTAAAATGGCTCCTACTTCAAATGCTTCAGACTATAGTGTTCTTGCACGAGGATTGGGAGAATCTCTGAAAGATATCCAAGTATTTTCTAGAACACGACAACTAGGTACTAATCCATGTGTAGAGAATAATGGAGGATGTACTGAGCTTTGCTTATTCAATGGCTTTGAGCCTGTTTGTGCGTGCGCCCATGGAAAAGTTGCTACTGATAACAAGACATGTGAAGGTGAGATATTGAAATAATTTTTGCGCTTATTTTTATATAGTTTCAATACATATACATATTCATAAACAATGTTTCTCTTGCAGATTATGAAAGTTTTTTAGTATATTCACGAGTTCTCCAAATAGATAGTATTCATATGTTTAATGAATTTAATCATAATGCACCATTTCCAACCATACAGTCCAGTGAATACATGAGAAATGCTATTGGTCTCTCATTTGATTATGATCGAAAGAAAATATTTTATTCAGACATTCAGAGAGGAAGCATTAATGCGGTGTTTTTCAATGGAACTAATCATACCATGATTGTTGAAAGTAAGTATTTATTGTTTAACACATTCAGTATATCCCTTTCTTTTGTATATTAATTGTACAGTATATAATTACAGTAACAAGATTATGTAATACACACCAATAAATACATTTCCAGTGAGTACAATTGTATCTTTCTAGTTCATACAATTAGGTTGTTTTCAAAGGAATAAAAACATTAAAAATGTCTTAAAATTCACAGAATGAATTAATATATAGTATCAAATTGAAATATTAACAGCCAACTTTTGAGATGACTTTACACGCCTCAGAATGAGGAACTAATCTCAGATTACACTGGTTAGTGGGGTTCTTGTCAATGGGACATAACCAGTGTTTATTTTTCTGTTGTGTGGGTTTAAAATAATTGAGAAAAGCATGGTCAAGTTCCCAGAAAACTTTTCTTTTGTGGTCAGGACATGGAAAATACTTTTTCAATGTGTTTTAGCAAGACAATGGTAGAAGTATCTTTTAAGCATTTCAGTACATATAAGATCCAATAAACTGATCATTTAATTGGTCTATCAGTAGGGGAAATGTGAATGATGGGCAGTTTAAGGTTTCTGAACTCCATTTTTTTTAAAAACATATTTTTCCTCAAAGACAAATTTTGCAATTTTTGTCTAGAATTTTTGCAAAAATCTGACTGATTACTCAATACAAATCAAAAAACAATATAGATAAAAACATGAAGTCATACTTGATACACAGCAAACAATTCCACCAGGATATCAAAAATGTTGAAATGTGATATGTTGGATGAGAGAACAAAATGTATAGGAGGCGAAGCTGTATTTGGTCACTGATCCATGAGAGAATATGAAAATGCTCCAGGAAACTGACATTGTTGGTCACTTTTGCTGAGTAAACAGATAGATAATTTGCCAAATAAAGAGAATAAATTAATAATGCTAGAGAGAGTAACACAGGCATTTTCATACTAGTTCCATTTTCTTTTGAGTCAGGGCAAGGCTTTAGATTTTCCCCCCATTCTGTTTCGAGCTGCTATCTATCAGCACTTAAGGGGCCTATCATGGCTTCCCACAGTAACTACAGTTCCCCAGAGAACAATTTCCAGTGAAAAGTAGCCTGGTTTCCCCCACACATCATGCCTAGTTAGCCTTTAGAACCATTTCAATCCTGTACCTATGTCCATGGAAATTTTTGTCTCATCTGTCATACTTATCATTTTTCTGGATGTAAGAAGCAAGTTCAATTATATTACACCTACTATAGATTTAATTCCCAGTTGCCAGTCATCAAAAAAGGATTGTAGGGGAGGTCGGGAATGGTCTCCATGCCACAAGACTGAAAACATGTAAGCCTTATGTGGCATTTGAGCTTTCTGCCTTAAAGCTTTCTACTTGTTTGGGCACTTCTTCCCCAAGGCTCGATGAGATCTGAGTTGCACTTTCTCTAAATTAAGTGTGTATTTTTGATGTTGGGAGGATTGTACCACATTTGCAAATTCCAGCACTGGCCAGGTATACTACATAGTGTGGATTTTCTTTATTTCAAATGGTTGCAAGGTGGTAAAAGCTTTTCTTATTATGTCCTGTTATTGGCCCATTTAGCAACTGAGGCAACTTGACTTTCCCATTTCATGCTATTCAACTCTTAGATCGTTCTGTTGCAATGATGTAAGAAGTAATTGATTTCCATCTAGGTTACTGTGCCATGTATTATTCCTGCCGAAGTGTAGAATTTTGCATTTGTTGGTGTTGGGAGGGAGTGAGCCACATTTTCAACCACTTGCATACCAGTTTAAGATCAGGATGGAGGGCCTGGTAGTGTTTTAGTGAGTTAACAAATAACTTGGTATCATCAGTGTAACTGTTCCAGTTAGAAAATATTCCATCTCTAATGTCACACATGTATAGGATGAATAGTAGCATTCCTAATACTGATCCTTGAGGAATTTTGATAAACTTCATTGATAAACATTTGATGTATTTGTGCTTGCTAATGGATTGAATTATGAAATACATTAGTATTTAGTAAAATACATAGTCTCAATTAACCATGCTGTATGACACCCTCCCCCTTTCCATAACCCCTACACTAAGCTGAATTTTTATTTTACAATAAGAAAGGGTGCTGTTTTGTGTGTGTTTGTGTGTGTGGGGGGGTGTTTTTTTTTTCATTTTGTTTAGTTATAAAACCACAAGCAAATTGATTAATTTTGGGGGGAAACATTTATCTAGGAGAAATTCGTCCAAACACAAATAAACATCAAATTATGTCTAATTTGATAGTTTCTAGATCATAGAAAGTGATTAGTAGGCTAGAATTTGTAGAATATCTTGTTACTCCACCAGTAGTCACCAATAGGCATATTTTTCTTCCCTTTATTTTACCCACAAATAACAGAATCACTGAATTGGTTCCAAGGACAAAGAAAAGTTTAAATTGTCAACACTGTTTACCAATTTAGTTCTTAAAATGTGTATTAATATTAATAAATGTCTTGATTGAAATTATTCTTAGGACAAGGATCTGTTGAGGGATTAGCATATGAATCTGTGAATAATGTCCTCTACTGGACGTGTAATAGTGATGCAACAATTAATAGAGTGCTGCTTAATACTTCAAAGCCGCAAACAGAAGTTGTCATCAAACTTCACTCCAATGATAAACCTCGTGGCATTGATATTGACAGTTGTGACAGGTAAAAACTTTTCCCCTTTAAACTAATTTAAAAATGAATTCACACAAAGAGAAATAAATAAGTTTCCCAACTCGCTATGTATTGTAAAAGATGTGATTGGTATGATTTTGCTAATGTTTATAAAATCTCATCTCTGACAAAAACAATTTTGAATGTAATATCACACTTCACTCCATTTATCAGATAAAAATTTCACTTATGTGTCTTAATTTGTAGTAAAACAATTGTTACAAATAATAAAATAAAATCCTTTTTTGCTAAACTGTTGTGGAAACCTGCTGTGGTTGTGTTTTATTATCTTAATTTAAAATTATGGCCTATTAGTTTGTTTTCAACTGTAATAGATTTTGAATGTACCATCGCTCTTCATTTCAGTCGGATATATTGGACTAATTGGAATTCATATACTCCATCTATACAACGTGCTTTTACTAATGGATATGATATGCAATCCATTATCACAACGAATATTAAGATGCCAAATGCTTTAGCTTTAGATCACAAAGCTCAAAAACTGTATTGGAGTGATGCTCGCTTTGACAAAATTGAACGTGCTGAATACGATGGATCAAATAGAGTGGTAAGTGTTATGAAATTTAAGTAATAAGAAAATAATAGTTTTCATGGTGTAACTTTAACTATGTGATTTTCAAAAGAAAGTTCACAGTCATAATTTGAAATTTGTTGCAAGTATGCTAAATAGTTGATCTCATGAGATTATTGTTATATTTTTATTGTTATCAGTATCATCACAATGTACTTTGTTGTTGTAAAAATAATAACAATAATATTGGTTAAGCAGACAGACCTTATACAGTGCCATCTCATTAGTACGTTTTCCAAGAGACAGAAACTTTGAATATCGTATATAGGGAAAATGTGTTAATAAAAAATTCAGAACACTTACATTAATTTGCAAGTAAGTAATACTTGCATACTCTTAAGGTAAACTAATTTATTTGCAAATAATAATCTAATAAAAATGAAAGTACTGGTAAATAATACCCTAACACTAAAAATAATTCAAATTAACAGAAAAAGTTAATCTCCATAACATATCGTGTATAACATGAAGAATTGCCCTTAAATGACTTAAGATAACAACTGTGTACACCAATATTATGGTAATTACCTAAATTTAAAATAACCAAAGATTTCCGCTTCTGAGTAGCTGAATTTCAAATTTTCACTGTTATGGAATGCTTATAAAATGTTGAGCATTTTTACCTGGCTATAATATTTCTCTGGTGCTTATTAAATGGAGTATTTTCTTCCCCCATAGTATATTGTTTTTAATATATAGTTACAATTCAGTTTTGAGTTTTCTGAACATTCTTAACCAGTTGCGTAACCAGGCGTAACCAGGCTTTATGATACTACAGTTTTGAAAACCAAAATGGTGTCCCTCTCTGCAATAAACAAGAAATTAAGAGTTTTAAATCTAATTGGTATAAATATAAGGAGAGAGTGAAAAAAATGAGCATGGAGTGCTTTCTTTGACGATATCTATCCCCGGGGGTCTTTATGAAGGGTCCCTTACTCCCAGGAACTGGTGCAGTGCAAAGATTTGGTACTTCGTGCTCCTAAGGAAGAACGAAAGACAAGAGAAGCAAATTTGTAATTTATTATGATTACGTTTTGTTGCTCTATGTCAGAAAACATTTAATTATCCAGTTATTTTGATATTTTGTTGTAATCATGGAGATCCCATGCACCTTAGCATTTTCCCCCCATTTTCCCTCAGCTTTGCACTAACCTTCCCTTCAGATTTAAATGCCTCTGTCTACCTTGTTTCTGCAGTACTTCAATTTAAAACTTATGTAAGGAATGAAACCACCAAATTTCAACGCAACGTCAGGATACACACCTGAAGAATGTGAAATAGAAATATGTTACATACATTCCACATACATCTCCATTTTCAGTCACTCGATTACAGTGCAATTCTCAGTCATTATGTCTGGGAGACATGAAAAGACATGAATGGGTTAATTATACGTATCAACAGCCTAATGGTATTCAGCTAAAGACCCCCAATTGACATCTTGATCATCATTGACCTTCAGGGGGTTGATACCAACACCATTGAAAACCCCTGTTCTAGATATATCAAATTCAAAGAAATGCATCGTAACAAGACAAAACACAAAAAAGATGATGGAACAGACACAAAAGAACCCAATTCACCATATCTTGGTTTCTGACTATTTTTCCCTGTACTACTTGGCAATTCTTTTCTCATCCATATGCTAACTTTATTCTTTGATATTATATTATTTTTATTTATTTATTTAACATAACAAGTGCCATATTAATATACCAAGGTCATTCTGTCCTATTAAAATTTGTTGTGGGTTGACAAGACTGTCTATACAGATTTTCAGTTACGAGTATTTATGTAAAAATAATATTTACGTCTCTATTTGGGATTCAGGAATTTTTCCTTACCACTACCAAATAAATAAATACTTTTTTAATAAAATGATATCTTTTTAGAATGATAAAAGTATCATTGTAATTTTTTTCTTTTCTAATTCAAATTGTAATATTATTTAACTAGTTTGCAGTACGTAAGATGGTCATCAATATATTTTAATTTTTACATACTTTCTCAATTTATCTTAAGTTTCTACTAACGTTCTTGGCCTTGAATATTTAATGAAATTTCAAAGTCTTTGTAAAAATATTTAAATTATACACTTTCCTTGTGGAAATAAACTGCACTCTTGGCGATGAATTGATGACAATTCCATTCTGAGTTGTTCTTCCACCATTTCTTGAAATTCCACACTCGTGTTTTTATCAGCACATTTTTTTTATTTGTCTGCATTTTTTTTGACTTGATTGACTAATCAACTTGAGTTCAAATATCCCATTACTAACATATTCATATACTTAACTTGTTCTGTTCTAACTTTTAACAACAATTTCTACCAATCACTGCAATACATCCTGCCTCCTAAATATCACCCTGTTCAAATGAAAAATTCACATCCAGCAACTTAACTTGCTTGTCTCTTGTTTACATTGTTTCCTCGTCACCTCAATTCTATATTGTCCTGCTGCAACTACACCGTCAGTGTTCATTTGTCTTCTACAATAATGTTTATTTATAAAATACTTTTTATTTAAAAAATTTTCTAATATTTTAAATGCACATCCGAAATCATTTTTCTTAATGTTTATTCAACTCTTTAAGTCCCCAACATCTCATTTTTATTCAAAATTCCTTGTATTTGCCCATCTTCGCTGTCGTTCAACCTTATATTTTCTACAAAAGTTATTTAACTTGTGATAATTCATCACAGTTCATAATTATACAGACTGAAAATAACCCTAAATACATTTCAAGACAAAAAGAGAAGAAAAAGAGGTTTGGTTGGTTTGTAACAAATTTAAATGACAAATGACATATGTATAAATAGCTTACATTTCAAGCAATTTTTTCAATTCTTCCAGGGTCCAAATAAGTAAAGACTACTTTTATTTTATATTACTGAAATTGTTATGGCTATAATATGGGAAGATATGCTTCCTAAGTTGTTAGTACAATTTTAGTGAAGCATTTAATATTATTATGTTTGGTATAATATGGATTTTTTAAAATCAAGCTTCCTTCATTATCATTCATAAATTCATGATTAATTTTTGCCTTGTAGGTATTGGATAAAGTTAAACCTCAACATGCATTTGATATTGCTGTGTATGGAGATTATTTATTTTGGACAGATTGGGTTCTTCATGCTGTAATTCGTGCTAACAAGTATACAGGAGATGATGTAGTCTGGCTTCGTAAAGATGTACCACGTCCTATGGGAATAATAGCTGTAGCCAATGATACGAATGAATGTAAGTACTTGTGACATAGTTCTATTGATACAGGTTTTATTTAACAAATTATAGAAGGCAAAATATTTAGATGATTGTTGTTGTTAACATTGCTTATTTTATAAGTTTATTTCATATGTCACTAGAAAAACTAAAATTGTTCAAATTTTCTCACTAAGTTGTAAGATTTGTTTAATACTGAATTGGCTTTTGTGATTAAATCAAGACAGTATTGATAATATATGAATTCAGAGACTTTTATAAAGAAAAATAAACATTAACTTTTATAGACATTTCTCGGCACTGTGCCTTTACACTTTTGTCCATGGTATCCCTTGGTTTCATTTCAGTGCTTGTACCATTGTTCTTGGTGTAAGAATACAGTTCCACAATTACAAACATAAATTGCACACACAGTTATCTATGAGAGAAGAAATTTTGGAAGCATTAAGGTGAAGGTGGAATACACAAGGGACTTAGAATGCCCCTCATGTCCCAAAAAAAACTGAAAACATTCATTCTATATGCAGATTTTGATTCCATAGCGGTAGTGTTCCCATACTTCAGCTCAAACGCCTCTTCCCGCCTCATGAGGCCGACACACTGGATAACTCTTTTGTAAATGTATTATGGTTACATAACTCAATAATGAGAACTTTGGCTTCTGCGGCCAGTGTCAATTGCTATTTGGTTGCTGGGAGACACTACATCCTAGGCACAGGTGCTCTTGTTTCAGTCGCCTTTCTGCAACCTTTCATAGAAATGCATGCTCACTGAGACATTTTTTGATTAAAAACTCTTTTCCAAAATGTGTAATTCCACTCCTTAAAGTCTTGAAATCAATTTTCCCCAGTATTTCATAACTTTTTTATATTGTGAATATTACTTCATATGCATGGAAATATACAAGAAACAAAAAGAAAATTGGTACAAAATGATGAAAGAAAGAAGATAAGAGAAAGAATGAAGAAATGTTGAAAAGGGACGGAGAGGAAACATCCAAGGAGTGGAATTGAAATTGACACATTCTTGGCTACAAAGCTTGAAAGTCACTGTCTGGCTTTCTTGGCCATTCTTAACAGGATCCAGAAGAAGTAGAATATTATAAATCAACATTCAAGTGGCTCAGGCATGTTTTTTAACAGGGGGAAAGAAGCCAATTGCATAAAGTACTTCAAATTCAACACAACAAATTAGACTCTGTGCATTGGATTGCAATAGGATAAGAGAAGGAGATCTAACAGTTCATTTCTCCTGTGGTTTCTGTCAGCCTAAATTGTAGGATTACACTGACCTACAGTTCTACACACATCGTACCCTTGCCTTCCAGAGTGATTCATGACTCATCACCCATGGCGCATTCTCCTGATTCAAAAAGAAGCCAATAGATGACACTTCTAGGGATGAGATTCTCCCCTTCTGCCATACAGCTCCATTAAAAAAAGGTTTCTCTTCTTGCCATATGACCACGGAGAGATAAGGGGAATTTGTACACAAGAGGAAGAAAGGATGAGAGTTTCTCCTCGAAGCAATTTTCATTGATTGTAATCATTTTTGTATAACTTAAAGCTTGTATGGATCAACTCATTAAAATAGATTTTCTAATAGTTATCAAC